TTTAGAAACAAACAAATCCACTTGATGGATCCCCGGAATGCTCAAAAAACTCATTGGAAAGAATCGCTGATAAACCAACCTAAGAAATCAAAACCTCAGTGATCTCCCCACCTCTCTGTCATTCTTGACTGGTCAGAACTAACTTTACTGGACTCAACCCTGTAGGTTATATTTAACTAATATTGTTCTGTTTATTATTTCCAATTTAATTTAATTTTAATGTGTTGTAAGACATCCAGCCGCATCTGAGATGGAGTGTCATATAAATTGTTTAAATAAATGAATAAAACATATCCAAAGAAACTGCCCTGTTCTAAAGGAATTACAAAAACAAAGCTTATAACACAAAACTCAAAACATTTATTGGAGCTTATTCTAAATTGTTAGTGAAATACTACTCAGAAATCATTTTATTTGATTAAATGAATGCAGAATTTAAACAAGACAATTCACGTGCCATAAAAGGACATAAAAAAAAACCTAGTACTTAAATGTACTGCAGATACTATTCCTAAGGAAAAATGGAATAAAATGTTTGACACTGGTATATTATTCCACTACTATTTGCTAAAACAAATACAGTAACTTAAAATACATAATAACCAAGTTGGAAGGGACTTTAGAGGTCTTCTAGTCCAACCCCCTGTCCCAGCAGGAGACCCTATCCCATTCTGGACAAATGGCTATCCAACATCTTCTTAAAAACCTGCAGTGATGGAGCATCCACAACTTCTGAAGGCAAGCTGGTCCATTGATTAATTGTTCTCAGTGTCAGGAAATTTCTCCTTAGTTCTATGTTGGAACTCTCTGATAAGTTTCCATCTGTTACTTCTAATCTTCCTCTTGGCGCTTTTTTTTTTTTTTTTTTTTTTAAGAAAACTCGTTTTCTTAAACATCATTGTTTCATATTTGGTGGCAATGCTGTAGAGCTCAAAAATTCTGGAAGATGATTTATCATATTTTTCTTTAAGTTGAATTCTCTTTCCAACCAGCTATTTTTCTATTAAATATTGCCAAACCTTATATTCCCATGAAGGATAGTAAACTGGCTTTTTATATGATAACATTGACCCAGATGCTGTATGCTCACATTTACTCCCCTCTGCAGCAAAATAGCAAATGAAGTTCTAGGAATAGACACAATGTAAAAAAAGAGAAAAGGTACAATATTTGAATAGGAAATTTGATACAGAATTTAATTTAACTTGGACATTATTCATGAATAATAATTCTGCATTTCAGCTTGTACCACCTATGAATTTGGGTTTCTCTTAACGTGAAACTTAAATACCTATGTTTTTCTAAATAAGGGTAGAATTTTCAGCTTAGACTAAATTTTTATCTATGATTCACACCATGCATACTATGATGGCTATTTATTGCATATTTACTCAATTTTAATATTGTTCTATGTTTTAAATATAGGATATTTTAATATCCAGCACTATTTTAATAATGCTTTGAATTCTTTTTCCTCCAAATTCACCATTTAAACTATTTAAGAACATGGATAGGTAGGTGCCTGCATAGTTGACTGATTTACAATTTACCATATCTTTATTTTTATTCACTCTTCTCCTGCTGGTAAATCTCTTTTTTTAAAGTTTTTTTGTTTGTTTTCCAATGTTCCTTGATTATGCTCTTAAATATCTGCTGCAATAAAAAGTATAATTTGCACACTCCGGATAGATTGGATCTAAAATTATGATCTATTTTTATTTCTCATTTTAATAACATAGACAGTTTTACATTAATTAAAAGTGCAATTGCAGACCCACTATGGTTTTAAAATAAACTTCAGGGAACATTTAGAAAGCATTTCTAGCTAAGGGTCACAAAAGCAAGTCAAAGTTTGGCTTCTTAGGGAACCATCATACAAATCTAGTCTGACGGACCAGGGTTAACATGATAGCATTTTTCCAATATTTGAGGGGCTTTCAGAGACAAAAGGGGGTTGACCTATTCTCCAAAGCACCTAAGGACAGGACAAGAAATAAGGGCTGGAAGTTTATCAAGGAGCGATCCAACCTAGAATTAAGGAGAAATTTCCTGGCAGTTAGAACAATTAACCAGAGGAATGGCTTCCCTCCGGAAGTTAGGAGGGTTCATCACTGGAGGTTTTTAAGATGAGACCAGACAGCCATTTGTCCCAAATGCTATAGGGCCATGATGGCGAACCTATGGCACGCATGCCACAAGTGGCACACAGAGCCATATCTGTGGGCACGCGAGCATTGCCCTAGCTCAGGTCCAGCGCGCATGTTTGCGCCAGCCAGCTGATTTTTGGGCCTTCCGGTCCCATTGGAAGTCAGGAAATGGGCTGTTTCCGGCCTCTGCGGGGGAAGGCTGTTTAAGCCCTCTCCAGGCTCCTAGAAAGCCTCTGGAGCCTGGGGAGAGCGAATAACGGCCTTCCGGTCCCACCAGAAGTCAGGAAACAGGCTGTTTTCACCCTCCCCAGGCTCCAAGAAAGCCTCTGAAGCCTGGGGAGGGCAAACAATGGGCCTACCGGGCTATTGCATGCTAAAAGCAGTGGGAGTGCGGGGAGGGTCAGGTGCACATGTGCAGGGGGCAGGGCTCATTGAATTATGGGTGTGGGCACGCATGTGGACAACCCCGCCCCCATGCTCCCCCCACTTTTGGCACGCGACGGCAAAAAGGTTAGCCATCATGCTATAGGGTCTCCTGCTTGCACAGAACACTTCCAACTCTGCTGTTCTATATTCTGTGAATATCATCCAACCTTCCAGTAGAGAAAGGCTAGAAGAGTCAGCACCACAAATAGACAGGAAAACATGCAAATAAAGTCAAGAAACTTTTTTCGGAAATGGGACCCTTTGATAAAAGAACAGGAAGAGGAAGACGGAATGGCAAATGAGCCGTCAAAAAGCCAAAATGAAGCATTCCGCAATGCTGGCATTTACAGTCTCTCTAGTACTGTAGTGCTGACCTATCCATGAAGAAATCTGCCTTTTTTTATTTTTATTTTTTTTTACAATTCTTCCTTTAATGAGGAAATTTAAGCCTATCTCTACCAGAAACCAAAATCTGGTATCCATTGTACCTAATCCTGCAATTCAACTGCTAAAGCTATTTGCTCGACCATTTGCAACCTATTGTAGGAGGAAAGTCTATAGTAGCAAAAAACCAAAAGAAGTCTGGGACGGCATCTTTTCTAACAAATTTTATTCAATTATTAAAAGGTTTGGTGAGCCAAGGTTCATCTTATCAGATGGCTAGAGTATCTATGAGATATTCTATAATACACAGACACAAACACACTTACTGAATTTCTATGAACGCCTGTCTCAAGCAAGTGACTCTACATAAACCACAACCTGTGTCTACAATCCATTTATGCATCTCATGAAGTGAGCTGCAGCTGGAAAAAAAAAAGAAGAAGAAAAGCTTAGGTGGTTTAATAACATTTGCTAGTTGAAACAGGAGCTACCAGATTCTTTCTGATCATTTGAAACCCAGCAACTGATACACAAGCAAATGGCCCTGAAAAGAATAGGAAGTTTATTTTTTCAGTTCCGTTTCAGGACAAAAGATGAAAACAGCATTATATGGGGAGCCAAAGATATATATTGTGGAAGTTTAGTTAAAAATTGACTCAAGGTAAGATTTAAACCAATGATTTCCTGTGTACACAAGCAGGTATTGCTTTGTAAACTGAATTCATAGAGTTTACATAGCGTTTTTAATGTGCTTCTTGACTTCCAAGTAAGTTTGCTAGAATATACATTTAATTTTACAGGACTTTGAACTACTGTACGTCATCTATATTTTTCTTCATAGATGGAGGCAAAAGTCCCCGTATTTGGCCTTCTGGGTTACAAACCTGACCATGAGTATGCAGACAGAGTCACTAGCAAGGAGCAGGTGTGCCTCCAAACACTAAATGCAAAAGCAAGCCATTACCAGCGAACTAGAGCAAACAAGCCAATATATGCAAGAAACAAAATAAACCAACCAACCAACCAACAAACAACAACATTCCATTCTCCAAATGTTTCATTTTTTGACCCCCGGGATAGAGCAATTATATCATGACTAAACTCTTCTGACCTATCTTCTAAAAAATCGTTTAGGGTCAGTATCTTTAATCAGCCTTCCTGAGACTCTTTTCATATACATTTTGAAAATCACAATTAGTTTGAAAACAATAAAGCCAACCCTTTTTAGGTGTAAAGTTTTCCAACTTGCCTGCAACCATGTCAGCTAGAAAAGTATGGCGTTTATGGGTAGGAAGCTGTAAAAAAAATTTTTTTTAAAGCAAAGACCTGCTTGGGCAGACAGCTATAGGTGCAAAAAAAAAAAAGTTTGAAACCCAAAGCTGATTTTTTTCTTTTGGATTGAATCCAATATTTGCTAAATTCAACCTACCCATTTCTTTTCTGATGCTTCTCTACATGTGAACCCAAGGTAAAGCCAAGTATTCAATGGCAATTTGCTTTTTCTGGGTAGAATACCTGTAACCACGACTGCTGCCAACTTTTGACGGCATTATGTAACAAACTGCAAGCAAGCATCCCTTAAATTACGAACGGGTTCCTTCCCTTCTAATGAAAGCCAGCAACCTTTCTATTTCTGCGCCCACTCCAATTCTCAACCCCAACCTGCCCAGCCACAGATCCTCCACAGCAAATATTTCCAAGAAAGGAACCTGCATTGCATACTATTGCAGTAGAGCGTTGGAACAGCCCTCTACTGGGTTCAGGGAAGACAACCTGAAATGCACAACGCTTGCGGCTAGAACCAACACTATGGTGCTGCTTACACAAAGCAGAAGCTTACCTGTGTGGGAGTTTGCGTTATTTCTTGCTACCGGCAAACGCTCACCTTTCAACACAAAAAAATATGCCGGCCAGTATACATGCTCAGTCACATCTATCTTCTACCCTTTCTATGGGGAAGACCAAATTCAAGGACCATTCTGGCCCCAAAGACAGACAGACAGACACACCACACTCACAACATTTACAAGCCACACAGGTTACCTTTCGCCTGACAGTCTGCACAGTATTTGTTCTCTTCTTGCAGCAGCAGGTTGGTAAGGACAGCCTGGTATCTGTCCACATCCCGCACGGATTTCCCTGTCATTGCAGATCAAAGCTGGCTCCGTAGAAGTGCAAAGAAATAAAGGGGGGGGGAGTTTTAAAGGGAGGAAGACCCTTTTCCTTCCTCAGTGCTTCCAAGGAGCCTCTCTGGCCATGCAACTCAGAGGGAGAGAGAGAGCCAAGTGCAGCCACCCGGGGCTTCCCTACTCCCTTCTACATAACCAGTGGTGGCTGACTTGAGAAGATAACCTCCAGGCAGCAGGACTTCCTCTTTCGGATCTCAGCAGATACCCTGCTCCACCTCCTCCTCCTCCTCCTTCATCTTCTTCAAGGTTGTCCCACAGCTTTGAAAGTGGCCAGAACGTTTCTCCATTGCCTTGATGTCAATTGCCCGGACACACGCTGGTTGGCACAAGGCAGGCTGGCGAAGGTTACACCTGCAAAGCCCCTGAGGGCAGCCTCTTCCTGGATCCCAGATGGCACCGGCTTAATCCAGGCACCCTGAGGGCAACTCCAAGAGGCCAAGAGCAACCTTGGTGTTGGAGGACGGGGATGCCCTGTGTGTGTGTGTGTGTGTGTGTGTGTCTGCAGGCTCAGGATCTCCCACCCCTTTGGGCTTCTTTTCCAGAAAGACTAGACCACCCCCACCCCAACCTGGCAGACACAAGGCAGCAGCCCCCCCCCCCTTGTTCCCTCCACCACCCAGGCCTCTGTGTGTGTGTGTGTGTGTGTGTTGTGTGTGTTTGTAACCCTGAGGAACCCCCAAATCAGTGGGGGCTTTCCAACAGCCCCCTCCCCTTAAGAGAAGCCCCCTTCTGAGGCTCCCCAAGTCCCAGCTTGGGACCACCGCAGCCTCTGGGAGAGACCTCACCCCAGCAGGACAAAAGGAGGAAATTGATCCCCCCCACCCAAGCAACGAAGGGGCTGTGGACGGGCTGCCTTCCCCCCTGCCCCAAATACTGACCCCCAAAGCCCCCCCTCCCTCAAATTGGCCTTTTCCAATCTCCTACAGCCCTTAAAACGACCCCCCTCCCCCAGCCCCGTTTGCCTCAGCCTTTTTTGGAAGGAGGCGGGTCTAAATAAATAGAGGAAGGGGCTTCAGAAAGGGAAAGCCACCCCCACCCCCTCACTCCTATGCGCGGAGGAAGGAAGGAAAGAGAGGAAGAAAGGAGGGAGGGGAAAGAGGGAGGGAGGAGCGTTACGTGCGCCCGCCCTCCTTCCTTCCTGGCTGCCTGCCCCCCCCCGCGTCTCCAGGCAACGGCCGACGAGAGGCTCCTCCCCCTCTCGCCGCCTGGCACCGCCCACGGCCAGGCGCACGCGCCCTCTCTCTCTCTCTCTCTCTCTCTCTCTCTCTCTCTCTCGCGGTTGCGGAACACGGGCGTGGGCGGGGAAGGGGGAGGGCGTGACTGCCCGTTTAAGGCCCGCCTCCTTCCTGAGGAGAGAGAGAGAGAGAGAGAGAGAGAGCGCCCGCCCGCCCGCCAGGCAGGAAGAGCGAAGAGCCAATCGGAGGACCAGGAGGAAGGGCGAGGGGCGGAGCGAAATAGGCCCGGTGGGGGACAGGGCGTGAATGAAGGAAAGGATGAATGAAAGCAAGCGCGAAGCGAGCAAGGAGGGCGGGGGGGGGGGAGCGGGAGCGGCGTAGCGAGTTAAAGTGCGGGTTTCGGGCGGGGGCGGGGCTAGAAGGGAAAAGAACTTTCCCCGAATAGGTAATGCTTGAGAAGCGTTTATTTATTTATTTATTTATTTATTTATTTATTTATTTATTTATTTATTTATTTATTTATATTTGTATATTTATTTTTATTTATTTTTATTTATATATTTTTATTTATTTATATTTATTTATATATTTATAATTTTTATATTTTTTATTTTTATTTATTTATATTTATATTTATTCATTTATATTTATATTTATTTGTCAAGAACATATTAGGTAATTTATATAATTATAAGCATGAATTGCATACATAAAATAGATACAAATAGAGGGAACATTAGGAGAGGGACGGTAGGCACGCTGGTGCTCTTATGCACGCCCCTTGCAGACCTCTTAGGAATGGGGTGAGGTCAACAGTAGACAGTCTAAGGTTAAAGTTTTGGGGATTTGGGGAAGAAACCACAAAGTCAGGTAGTGCATTCCAGGTGTTGACAACTCTGTTGCTGAAGTATTTTCTGCAATGGAATTCGGAGCGGTTTACCTTGAGTTTGTATCTATTATTTGCTCGTGTATTGTTGTGGTTGGAGCTGAAGTAGTCATTGACAGGAAGGACATTGTGGCAGATAATTTTAATTTTAGGTCAGACCGAAGTCGGCATAGTTCTCAGTTGTCTAAGCCCAGAATTTCAAGTCTGGTGGCATAAGGTATTTTATTGCGGGTAGAGGAATGGAGGACTCTTTGAGCACCTGGCTTCTCCAGATACGGCTGGGGAAGCCCCTGCTGGACGGTGCCTCGCAGGGTGAATTGTAAGCGGCTTATTGCTTGCAGAACCCTGGAGGCAAATGAAAATCTTCATTTCTGGGAAATATGTATTGGCCCATGATGGGGAATCTATAACTCTCCGGAGCAGCATTTCTCAAACTGGATAGCTTCAGGATAGGGGGGGGACACGATAGGAGGAGTGTTCTTCCAATATTTGAGGGGCTTCTACAAAGACAAAGAGGGTCAACCTATTTGCCAAAGCACCAAAAGGCAAGATGAGAAACAATGGATCGGGGTGAAATCCAGCAGGTTCTGACAGGTTCTGGAGAATCTGTAGTGGAAATATTGAGCAGTTTGGAGAACTGGTAGCAGAAATTCTGAGTAGTACGGAGAGCTGGCAAATACCACCTCTGGCTGGCCCCAGAGTGGGATGGGAATGGAGGTTTTGCAATATCCTTCCCCTGCCACGCCCACCAAGCCATGCCCACCAAAACACACCACACCTACCAAGCCACGCCCACAGAACTGGTAATAAAAAAAATTGGATTTCACCAGTGCAATGGATGGAAAGTAACCAAGGCGAGAAGCAATCTAGAACTAAGGAAAAACTTCCCAACGGTGGGAGCAATCTACCAATGGAACAACTTGCCTTCAAAGAGTTGTGGGTGTTCCATTACTGGAGGCTTTTAAGAAGATTGGACTGGACAGCCATTTCTCTGAATTAGTACAGGGTTCTCCTGCTCAAGCGGGGGGTTGGACTAGAAGACCTCCAAGGTCCCTTCCAACTCTTATTATTTTACATTCTATTAGGGATGGCCTGATTCCCACAATTCCCCCAGCCAACCAGCAGATTGCAACACTGATTTGGTGTTTCTTGCTGAGGGCAAGAAAAACCTTGCAAGCCTCAAGAATAAAATGTGCCCCTTTTAAACAGGAGAATCTTAAAATGGCCGTGGAGTTACGTTGGGCCACGCTTTCCTGATAAGAGAAACCTGTACTCCAAGATAAACCTGCAACTGCACTGCAAGATATTTATATACCTGCTCTATTGGGGTCCCATTAATTTGCCATTTATGTAACCTATTGTGTTGTGCAAACACTAGCACTTTCATTTTGTGGCTACAAATTGCTCTTTTCAGCAAAAGGACGTCAGTGTCCGCAGTGCTCTTCTCGTTCCCACCTGGGAGTCAAACCAAATTATTACATGATTTGCTGTGCTGTGCCTCATTATTTTTTTATTATTATTATTTATTATTTATTAAATTTTTATACCGCCCTTCTCCCGAAGGACTCATTGCCTAACATGCATTATTGTTGTTGTTGTTGTTGTTATTATTATTATTATTATTGTATTTTCTTCTCTCTCGTCCCTTGCAGAAGGGAGAGATTCCTTGGACAAGCTACCTCTTCCTAAACTGCTTTACTTTCCCCCATTAGTTAATTAGCACTTTTGAAGGCTTGCCCTGCTGCTTGAAACTGGCATTTTGTTGTTGTTAGTTGCAAAGTCGTGTCCAACCCATTGCGACTCCATGGACAATGTTCCCCTAGGCCTTCTCTACCATCCTCTGGAGTCCATTTAAGATCACCCCAACTGCTTGAGTGACACCATCCAGTCATCTCGTGGCTGTCGTCCTTTTCTTCTTTTTTGCCCTCCATCGTTCCCCGCATTAGGCTCTTCTCCAGGGAGTCCTTCCTTCTCATTAGGTGGCCAAAGTATTTGAGTTTCATCTTCAGGATCTGGCCTTCTAAAGAGCAGTCAGGGTTGATTTCCTCTAGGACTGACCAGTTTGATGGTCTTGCAGTCCAAGGGACTCGCAGGAGTCTTCTCCAGCACCAGAGTTCAAAGGCCTCCATTTTTGGGCGCTCGGCCTTCCTTATGGTCCAACTTTCACATCCATACATTACAACTGGGAAAACCATAGCTTTGACTATACACACTTTTATTGGCAGGGTGATGTCTCTGCTTTTTAGTATGCTGTCTACATTTGCCTTAGCTTTCCTTCCCAGGAGCAAGCGTCTTTTAATTTCTTGGCTGTGTTCCCCATCTCCGGTGATCTTGGAGCCCAGGAAAATAAAATCTGTCACTACCTCCATTTCTTCCGCATCTATTTGCCAGGAATTGAGAGGGCCGGATGCCATGATCTTAGTTTTCTTAATATTGAGTTTCAAGCCAACTTTTGCACTCTCCTCCTTTACCTGCATCTTTAGGTTCTTTAGTTCCTCTTCACTTTCTGCCATTAGAGTGGTATCATCTGCATCTCTGAGGTTGTTGATATTTCTCCCAGCAATCTTAATTCCAACTTTTGAATCATCCAGCCCCGCCTTTCTCATGATGTGCTCTGCATATACATTAAATAGGCAAGGTGACCGTATACAGCCTTGCTGGACTCCTTTCCCAATTTTGAACCAATCAGTGGTTCAATAAACTGGCATGATCCTCATCCATTTTACGCCAAAGTCTTGAGCTCTTGCTTTTGACACTTCTGGTGCAAGAAACCAAGGATTCACTATAATGACTCTCCATAACTTGCAACTGATGAAAATGGTTCTGTGTTTTGGGTCATCTTCAATTGTTTGTGATTTGGAGGCAAGTTTTTCCACCAAAACAGTTGCTTATTTTGGAGAATTGGTGGAGTTTGGTTATTCTCTTTTTCTGGTAATTTAAAAAGATGTGCTGAAATTTATCTGCATTTTGATGTCTGTGGAGATTCTCAGTCATGGTTGTCCCAAAGATGCTTTTTCAAGAGGCAACTGGACTTTCTGGTTTTTCTTTGAAGACGTTTTGCTTCCCATCCAAAAAGTGTCTTCAGAGCTGAAGCGAAAGCAGAGAGAGTCCATTTTCCTCTTGAAAAAGTACCTTTGGGTTTTTACTCCAAAGGTTTCCTTTTGTATCCTAAACTGCGAGGCCAGGAGCAGGCTAAGCTTGCCGGTACTGACAGTTTTCCCTGTAAATTTTCGCTTAATCTCTTGTAATTTCTTCCTTTCCAATGAAGGTAAATACAAGATTGATTTTTCTCTTGCTAATAAGCCCAGAACAGAGATGAGGATTACAAAGCGGGGAGGGGGAAAGGGCTATAAAATTTATCCCGTTTTTCCCAGCTTCCTCGTGAGTCAAGTTCTGGAACATGGACCTTCCCGCAATTAGGGCTCACCCGGCTGATTGGGGTTGTATCCTCCTGATGTAAGAATTTAGGGGCAATGTCTTAATGAACCTCTTTAAGCT